AATCTCTGCCTCCTCGACTGCAAAATGGACATAACAGTCATTGTGGCTGCATGTGCTTTTATGTAAAGCACTCAGCACATAGGAGGTGCTCAATAAACGGTACCCATTGTTAATATCACTTTACCTTCTCTTTCAGCTCAATATTGCCCAAGGGATTTATTCATTTGTTTTTCATTCATTTATCCAGTCTGTACATGCCTGCCAGGTAGGCCACAACAGTTAAGACTCAAGTTTTTGGAGTTAGGCAGGAGTTAAAACCCCAGCTTTGCCACTAGCAGGCAGGCTAACTCTGAGAAAGCCATTTCCTCTCACTGAGACTTCAGATCCATGCCTGTAAAATGGGAATAATAAGAGCACCTCTGGGTGGCACTGAGATGTCCAGACGAGTCAGTCGGGCAAAGATGTGAGAGCAGCCAGCGTGGAGCCTTGAAGGGAAAAGCAGACGGCAGGTGGGCTGCACAGCGCAGCCAGGCCAGCCGCCAGCCCTGCGACCGGGCTGTGCCGGGCAGCCGGGCCTCCAGGGACAGCCACAGGATGAAGCGAGGGTGGGGGGAGGGGAGGGGAGACAATTGCTAGGTTTCCGGGCCATGGCCCAGTCCCTTTCTGGTAAACTAAGAAACAGTGAGGAAACACAAAAAAAGATTGTCAGAAGTTTAGAGGAGAAAAGCCCTAGCCAAACAGGGAGCCTTGGGTAGTGTGGAGTGGCTCCACCCCCCACCAAGAAGCCAGGGGAACAGGCACACTCACACATGTTGCATACGTGTGTGCACACACACTCACAAGCTACACGGTCTCAGCCCCGCAGACACACCCAGGGCGTGCACACTCGTGCAGATGTCCCATCAGAGGCAGAGCGCTTTACAGTTTGCAAAGAGCCTTCTCATCTATCACCTCATTTGATGACAGGGGACGGAGAGACTGTCCCCAAACTGGCTTAGCACCTGTTCTAGATCCAGCAAGAGATGCGAACCCCAGACGTCTTCATGGGGCCAGGGCCCGTCCCATGGGCGGCACTGCTTCCTTTTTGTCCCGGTGGTGGTGTCAATGGGAGTTGAAAAGCAATAGAAACCCCGGAAACCTTACCCCAGCTCCCCCAGATACACTCATTTCCCTGCTTTGCTCCCCTTACAAGTCACACCTTGGCTCAGGACACACCTTCCCCACTGGTCACGTGGGGTCAGCTTCAGGCTCTCTTGACATGTAACTGGGACGGCAGAGGCCAGAGCTTCCCAAGGATCAAATCTGTGGACTCCCACCCAGTTGCCTGATCTTCGTAGCCTCTCCCGCCATGGGCCCCACTGTGAGGGACCCTCGTGAGCACACGACACCTCAGTTTTCAGGTCCTCAGGGGAGATCACTGTTTCCCCATATTTCAGAGCAAGAAATGGAGGCTCAGAGCGAAAAAGTGTCCTGTGCCACTCAGAACTCAAACCCAGGCTGGTGTGGTTGCCATTCCCACCTCTGCTATTCCACTCCTTCACCGAGAACCAGCCCGGCCCCCCTGTCTCCATCTCCCCTGCCCTCCCAGCTGCATAGCCCGAGGGCCCCAGGCACAACCAGACAGAGGACGGGAGGAGGACCCCCCAAGTCTGCTCCTTCTCCTGGCCCAGTCTCGCAGGAGCCAGGATAGCTGCAAGTGGACTGCGCAGGGAGCTCTGAGAGGAGGTAGGGGCTCAGGCATCCACACGTCATTGACCCAGAACACTCACCCAGGAGTCAGTGATTTCCCCGTTGGTCTGTGGAGTGTTGGAGCAGATTCTGACTCCCGGAGCAGCCCCTACTGCTAGCCAGTTCCTGTGTCACACACTGTCACGTGCATATCCCACAGAAGTCTCAGAAGGCAGCAGATGAGGAAACCGAGACATCTGAGGAGGGGAAGTAACTTGCCACAGTACGTGCGTGGCTGGCAGGTTGCAGAGCTTGGACCCAAATCTCAAGACCATACAAACAAACTCAAGTCCCTAATACCAAGGCTGACTCAGCCGCTAGCCAGCTGGGAGTTGTCACTTTACCCTGAATGTGCTCATTAACTCAGTCCCGAGGGCTGTGGGGAACATTGAGTGAAATCACATTTAAGGACCAGGGCTTGACACAGGGTAGGCACTCGCTGGATGACCATTTTTCTCCTTCTCTCCACCCCACCCTGCATCCCTCTGCTGGCCTTTCTCAAGTCTAGAGAGAGCCCTGGCCCTGCTCATCGCTCTCACGGGGAACAATCAACCTGGTTTTCTCAGCAGTGACTGGAAGGTCCCTTAAGAGAGGCTGAGCCCCTGAGATTAATGGCTCTGCTGTCTGCAGCTCTGACTCTGTGGGGCCAGATGCCACCTTCTCCCCCCAGGGACGGAGAGGATGGCTCCTCAGACTGGAGCTGACCTGGGGGCAAAATCTGAGCCCGGTCACCATCCCCTCCCCTAGTTTCAATCCATCCTTGAGCTTGGTGGCTCTGACTCTGGCCAATAGTGGCCTGGACGGCCCCTCCCATCCATAACATGACTCCTCCTTCTCCTCCTCTATCTCCTCCTCCCCCTCTTTTACAGGTACTTATTGGGCACCTACACTGTGTAGGTGATGGTCAAGGCACTCGAGGACAAAAAACAAAGTCCTTGCCTTTACAGCTCCTATGTTCTAGCAGTGGAGACTAGTTTATTCTGGTTAATGTGTAAATGTACAGCAAGTCAAATGGCGATGAGAACTACAGAGGAGCACAGGGAGGGTAAGGGGCAGGGATCCAGGGAGCTGCAATTTCAGACAGACTGGACAGGCACCATGGGGATTTGCTGGATCCTCTTTTCACACCACCACCTCCCGCCTGGCCCGGAGGAGACCCCCAACCCTGAACCCCTACTCTGTGCCAGGTCCTGCCTTGGCTGATTTCAGCAGGAGGCCAGATACCAAGGCTAGGGGCTCCTTAGGCACAGGTCTCAGGTCAGGACCACCAGGGCTTCCCCATGGAGCATCCTGGGCCTGCCCTCTGTGCAAAGCCCTGCAGAAGCGCCCTCTGCAGGCTCGGAGATGGAGTGCATCCTCCAACCAACCCCAATGTTCTGTTGCCAGGAGAGGCCCTTGGGCCGGGGGAGGGGCAGGGATTTTCCCGGATCACACAGTAAGGCAAAGGTGTCCTTGTTCCCCTTCCTGCCCTCTCCTCTGGCTCATCCACAAGGGTGGGCGAAGGGCTGAGCCTCACAGCAGAGTGTTGTTGGCCTGTGATGGGGCGGTCTGTGCCCTCAGCCAGCTCCTGGTAAAGGTGTATGAGGTACTCCTCTATTGGGCCTACCTGGTGGCCCCAGCTTGCCCCAACTTCCATTTCTTATTCTCTAAGCCCCAGAAAGCTGAAACTACTTCCCCTAAGCCTAAGCTCTGGAGTCAACTATGGTTTGTGTTGCTGTGTGATCTCAGGCAGGTCCCATCCCTCTCTGGGCCTTGGTCCCCCCACCTGTCAAATGGAGGAAATGAAGCACCTGCATCTCAGGGCTACATGAAGAATGAGCAAGACATTGGAAAGAAGGCAGTGTGCAAAATGTAGGCGCTACCCAGATGACAAGGGGTTGCCCAATGTTCAACAACCCTGCTTATCTGAAAGCTTCTTTCTTCATTCTTGTAAAGCCATGAGGCAGCCCTCAGAGCAGGCCCTTGACCTCTGACAGGAAATAAGTAGAAATTCCACAGAACCTGTTCTTCAGAAAAGACAAAGCCAACTCTGCTCCTGACTAGCAGGTGGCCCCTCCTCGTCCTTGAGGCGAGAAGGTGAGGAGGGAGAGATGGAAAGGGACAAGGCTGGGGAGGAGAAGGAGCAGGCCTGAGGGACTATGAGCGTCACTCACCTCCCACCTCAGGCCCTCCAGCTGGGAGAGGGTGTAGGGTCTGACGTAGAGGCTGCACACACACTCACACATGTTTACAATTGCATCCTTGTACGTTTCCCTGTGCCTGTGTCTCAGCATGTGACATACACACATGCACACACATGCCTCCTCCTGGGGAGGTCACAAACCCCAAGTTCACGGGCCTTGTTTTCTCAGGCTAGGCAAATCTTTTTAGAGAGGAGCAAAGGGGGAGGAAGAGAGGGAGGGAAACATCGATATGTGAGAGAGACATTGATTGGCTGCCTCTCACATGCCTCCAACAGGGGACCTGGCCTGCAACCCAGGCATGTGCCCCAACCCAATTGGACCAGCGACCTTTAGGTTTACAGGCCAGTGCTCAACCCACTGAGCCACACCAGCCAGGGCTAGGCAATTCTTGCCACAATCCCAGGCTTGCCCAGATGCCATAGGAGATTTGTGGGGTTCATGGTTACTACAAGCTCTCGGTTTTCCTCAGAAAAAAAAGCAGTTAGACAAGAAGAGGAAAGGTTGGAGGATTAACTCAGGCTCTCCCAGCTCAGCCCCATCTGTAGGCTCCTGGGGGCTGAGTGTTGGGAGGGGGGTTGGTGTGTGTCAAAGGCCATAGCCCTCCGGGGGTCCTCAGACCCTCTGCTGCCTGTCGGCACTGGCCCCTCCACAGCCACCCTCCTGCCGTCAGTCACAGCAGGAGCCCCTCAGCCCCGTGCAGAGGTCAAGCACTTCAGAGTTCATACCTCACATGCCCTTGTTGCGTGCTGCTCACCGACCTTGTGCCAGGCTGACCTTAGAACCCTGTCTCCACAAGCCCTGCCCCCACGCAGCCAGGCCAGCTGGGTCTCAGGGTCCCCCCTCCTGGCCTTGGGCCAGGCTCACAGCACAGTGCAGGTCACTTTGTTGGGTGGGTCTCATCACTTCCCGAACCTTGGTTTCCCTAGCTGCAGAATGGAGCTATTCCTGTCCCTATGAGTCAAGGGCTGAGAAGGGTCTCTGTGAGCCACTGGCTGACATAAATAGTTTCTCACACATCCGGGCACCCAAGGCCACTGCCCACTGGCCTGTTGCTGCTTCTAGAGGAAAATGCTATCCAGGAGGAAAATGCTGTCCTGAGCCCTCTGTCTGAAACAGCCTGGCCCCGATCTGATGGAAGAGCCTTGGTACCTCTGGGATTCAGATCAGGTCCTGATGGGCCCTGTCATCACTTCACGTTTGCAGGCAGCATGCTTGGTGGTCCCTCAGACAGGGGGAAGCTGGTCCCTATTGCTGTACCTCAGTTGTCCTTCTCTGCAACCTGGACACTCTGTAGTTCTGTCCACAGCCTGGGGCCTGCCGTTCACCATTGCAGAAAAGCACGAGGGGCCACTGAGACCTGGCAGAAAAGGAAAGGGGTGTGCCCATGGGCATAATCCTGCACTGGTGTGTGCACAGCACACCCAGGCCCTGACGCAGCTCCACGTAACCCACATAGGCCCACGCACGTGCATATGCTGAGGCACCTGCCACACCTGGAAGCACACCACTCCCGTCATGCACATGTGCACCCGCATGAGTATGCGTCCACGTGCAGCCCGGCTTATGCAGGGCTCTTGCGCGGCTCAGCAGCAAGTGTCACTGAAGAGCTTTCAGACCAGGAAAGGGATGGAAAGGAAGAACTGAGTCCTCGGGTGCCCAGGCCCTTCCTCGGCTCCCTCCAAAGGGTTACTGAGAACGCAGATGATTTGTTCAGTTTTTCCTCCTCAGCCGACCTGCACAAGCCCCAGCCAGAATGCTCAGAGGTCCCTTTGGGAGTGTGGTCCCCGACCTGTCCAGCCAGCCACTAGCCCTGTTTGTCACCAGCTTAAAGTGAGGCTTTAGGTTAATTAATCACTCTGGATTTGGAAGCTCAAAGAGCAGAATGTGGGACAGCGGAGTTCCAGAGGGGCAGGGCCATCTCCAGGCAGAGGGAGCACAGCTACGGAGCCACCACCGGCTCCCAGGGTCCTTCCCTCACTAGACTTTCAGTTCATTCACTCGTTGAACCCAGGGAGCTCTCTGAGTGCTGGTGACTTGTTGGAGAAGAAGAGCACCCTGGCCGTGGACTCAGCTCAGGGTCCAGCCTCCTTGGAGCTTCGGGATGCGCATGGGGGTCACCAGTCCCAGGCCTCTCTGTTACCCCCTGCGTCTCTGCAGTGGATCCCACCACAGCCTGACCTAGGTCCTCACGTATAGACTGAGTATGAACTCTGCTCAAAACCACTGGCATCATATGAGAGCATGTCAGGAATGCACTCTGAGGCTCCACCTTGACCCACTGACTCAGACCTCAGGGATTGCTGTGTACACTGATATTTGAGAAGCACTGGTCTAGAACATTCCATACAGCGTTGGCCACTCCTCCTGCCAGCCCCACAGGACGGCTAAGAGCCATTCAGGTAATAACCACCTATATTGGCAAGCACACAGTGTTTACCACAGTGCTTATACCATCTCATTAAATCCTCATGTGCCCTTATAAGGTAGATACCTTATAAGGCATCTACCCCGCATTACAGATGGGAACATGAGGCACTCTGAGTGGTTAGGTAACATGTCCAAGGTTCTTACAGCTGATAGTGGCAGAGCCAGGGTTTGAACACAACGCTCTGAACCAGCACACTGCCCCACCCAGCAGCAGTGTCTCCATGTCTGGGCTGGGGGCAGGCTGTGGGGGAGGCAATAAGGTGAAAATTCTGAGAAGCCAGTGGCTCTCCTCACAGCAATCTGGGAAACACTAGATTTTACGTACTGATTGCTTTAGAATCTACAACTCTGTCCATAAAGGAGCTCAGACAACACCCACATATGCCACAGGATCCTATTAGACATAGGACTGAAAAAAACAGTAGCAGAAACCTGGACTAAGATGGTGATTGAGCTTCCTGGCAGCCAAAGTAAAAAGGAGGCAGGAATGGGGCTGGAAGTGAGGAGGCTGTGAGGATTCTACAGCTGGGCCAAAGTCACCCAAAGGGGTGGAGACAAGGGGACCATTGGAGAGGTATTTGGGAGGCAGATTTAATGGGGTTTGACAACTGCATGGGGGAAGAAGCCCAGAAGGGGTCCCCACACCCATCCTTCTTGCCAGGGTGGCTGGCTGGAGGGCAGAGAACACCCAGGGGAGGATGGGCACAGTGCCTCGTAGTAGGCACCTGGGAAATGTGTGTTGCCTGTTCCCCTCTCCGTTCACACCAGTACCTGCTTGGATGTGGACCACCCCCACCACCAGCCTGCCTCACACGGCTCAGCCTGGGGGCCCGGGGCCCTTCTGGCCTCCACTCTTCCACCAGCCCCTTGGGGGCTCCTGCTTACCACATCGGCTCTCTGAAGCTACAGTTCCTTCCTCCAGTCATCAGCTCAGGCTGGAGGTGGGGTGGGTGATGATCATGGGGAAATAATCATGGAGAATATGTGAATCCACAGGCCTGCTGCTGGTTGCGGGGGGGGGGGGGCAGGGCAAGGCAGTAAAAACCCTGCAGGGCAAGGGCTTGCACCCAGGAGTCCCCACCCCTCACTCAGTCTCTGAAACTCTCAGCCAGTCCTGGCTTCTTGCAGAGGACATGGGCCCCAGTTCTTTTAGTGGTGAGATCAATTTCTTACATATGGGGCTGAGGCTGGGTGGGGGAAGGGGGGAGGGAGATGTGCCTAATGCTGTATTTTCATGCCGCTTCACGTGATCCTTCATTTGCTCATTTACTCTTCACTCATTCAACAAAGGTTTACAGACCAGTCCAAAGATCAGGCATTTCACAGCAGCGCTGACGTCCTCAGTGATGCCACAGAGAGGTCAGGGCGTTTTAGTCCTGTGCGTCCACTGGCCAGGTGAGGAAAACAAGGTCTGGAGAGGGGCAGTGACTTTTTTGAAGTCACACAGCTGACACTGACACTGCCCATCAGACTCCACTCCCCAGCCCATGCTGAGGTCACGCAGGGCTGTGCACGAGTGAAGCTGCTAATACCCCAGGAGTCTCTGCACGACCTCAGGTGCTCAGGGTCTCTCAGACAGAACGACATTTGCCTTGGGGTCTCCTCAGCCCCATTTCTTTGCTCTCCCTTCTTCCTCTCCCTGTCCCCTCTAGGAACTGAGTGACCCTACACTTCCCTTTTCATGAGGGGACTGGTGACAACGTGGGTTCTAATCTTTCTCTCTCCTGGGCCACTCTCCCCTGAGAACCACAAACTGCTCCATGCACCTCCACTGCCCAAATGGGGAGGGGCCTTGGGGTTCACTGTCACCCAACCCAGGGAGCATGGGGCCATTTCACCAGGGAACTTCCCCCACTCCAGAGGAGCCACAGTGGCTGTGGAGGGATCTTTCCTGGGGCTTCTCAAATGATTCTGCACAGTGACCCCTAGTGAAGCTTCCCTGGAAGTTTTAAGCTTGAGAGCGTCAGGCTGCCGGAGCTGGGGCCAGAGTCCTTGAACAAGTGAACTGGAATCGGGGATGTGACAGCTGCAGTACAGAACGGGAGAGTTGGGTTATAGACACAGAATGTTTGAGTTGAGGCTATTGACTTCTAGGGGGAAGGCTGTAGAATCATAAACAGTCATGACGGGGATTGTGGATTAAAGGAAAGCCGGGCCAGAAGTGACGCCAGCATCACCCTGTCCCTCCTCCCTGGAAGCTGAGAAGACAGAGCTGGTTCTGTCACCTTGCCAGTCAGGGCTGGGCCAGGCCACCTGCCACCCCACAGGGTTATTTCCTCCAGACCTCCTGGAGTTGCCCTCAGGGCCTCAGGGCCAAAGCACTCCCCACCTGGGGACAGTGGGGACTGTGGTCTGCCTCTGGCCTGGCCGAGCCTCGCCACCAGCCCGGCACAGCACCCGGCCACCACCACGGATATATTTAGGTGCCCTCTGCAAATATGTTTCTACAGCTCCCAGCACTGCCTTTTATGTCCCCTTTTCCTCTGAGGCCTCTGGGCACCTTCTCTAAACTGACCCGAAAAAGTCACCCGGAACAAGGGCCCCTGCTCTGCCCATGCACGTGTTTCCCCCGTAAAAGTGAAGCTCAGCCTGAGAGTTTTCCTGGTCCGCTTTGGCCCGGAATTCAGACCCACCTGCTCTCAATCCGACCTCTCAGCCTCTCTCCAGCTCCCAGAGCCGGCCTTGACTTCCCTCATTCCAGGGAGAGGGCAACCCAGCTCCTACCAGTCCCCTCACCCACACACATAGGGCAGGGGTCGGAATTTATGTTCCTTTGGTATCTGTCAGGAGAGAAAGGCCCCCACCCAAGCCCGTGGCTGCTCCTGCACTTCTCCCCCAGCCTCTCTCCCACGCCCCCTCCCAGGCCCTGACAGAGACGGGCACCTTCGCTCCTCACACTGCATCACCCCAGAAGCCAGACAGGCACTGGGAATTTAACAGTTACGTGGTCTGGGGTGGGGAACAGATGCCCCCAGACATATTTAAAGGAGGGTTCTCAAGTTCCCCCCACCTGGCTCATGGGGAATCATTGATTCTGCAGGAATTGAGGGTTCCCAGGCGGGCAGCAGCCCACTCCTGTGGTGGCTCCGTCATTACCATCGCAGTTTTGCTGCTGGCTGTTAAGGGTTTTTATGCGGAGACTGTGCCAAGCACTTTATATCCAGGAACTCAGTTTTCACAATAACCCTACAAGGCAAATACAACTGACGTCTCCATTTCATAAAAGAAGAGACTCAGGTACAGAGAAGTTTTACCCAAAGTCATCCATGTGGAGGGTGCCAGAGCTGGGATTTAAACCAAGCCTGGATGACACAATGACCTCAATGTCCCAGGTGGTCATCTGCTATGGGAACTCCCTCCCCTGTGGTCCTCTGGGGTCCAGCAACCTCCTTCTGCCTGGCCAGTGGGGTGAAGGTGAGAACCTCATTGGCGGTCAGGGCTCTGCCCCAGAAGCCAGGTCCCCTGCCCCTGCACTAGAAATGACCAAGGCAGATCCCACCACTGTCCTTCAGGCATGAGACACCCCCATGCCACTGTGATCCCCTCCATACACACAGTACCGGTGGCCTTACACAACTTCAGCTTCCCACCACACAACTGTGCTGCACCGTGCACGCTGAGCACAGCCACCCCGCCACACCCCGCCGGGAGGTCTGTGTGCGGCGGCCCCGGCCCGGAGGACAGGCAGGGTTTGTACTCCACAGGTGCCGGAGGGCCCCATGCAGGGTACACCTGCTCATCACCAAGCCTAGAGTCAGCTCACTGGGCTGTAACTTACCAGAACGATATTTTTACATTAAAATAAATGCAGAAATATTACAGAGAGAAATGCAAAATCCACGTGAATTTTGAAAGGTGAAAAGTGAGACTTCAAAGAAGCTTTGTGTGCGTATGAGGAAGAACGTGGGGCTGTTCGCACTTCTCCCACCCAGACCAGGGGTGAGCTTGTACTCTCGCAAGCCCTGTGGGGCGCTGGAACCGTCAGAACCACTCTGGGATCGCGGGGACCGTTCTGTCAGTGGAAACAGCCGAATAAATGCTTCCCGCCTCCATTACCTGGCCCAGCACACCACACTACACAGGGCCATGGATTGCCACACACCAAACACGCATCTCCCAGCATGCACAACACACATGTATGCACAAACGTGCCATGGTGCCCAGCATACAGCCTGGACACACACACACGGAACCCCTGGGTTACCTTGGCAGAGTCACCGACGGCTACGGATAGGGACCACACACGCTTCTTGCTGACACACACCACAATCCACTGGTTGCACTGGGCACACCACGCACACACCTCACATTACATACTACCCAGCACATACACATTGCCCACTCTTATCTCTTATGTACTGCCCCCATCACACACTCAGACTTGCCCCCAGAACCCCACAGGGGCAGCAATGCAAGCTTGGAGTGGGCAGACCTACCTTGTACTCCCGACCCTCACAGCCCTCACCTGGGCTGTGTTGCACAAGCAGGGGTTAAGTCCAAATGTCACTTGCTCCAGCACTGGGAAGCCAACCCACAAACCCAGGGGCAGCATAGGCTGCTGCTGCAGCTCCGCTAAGCTAAGCGTCCCTGCACCCGGCGCGCAGGGAGAGCAAAGGGGCGGGGAGGAGGCGTGGCCAGACCTGGCAGACCGGCCCTGACTGTCCGCCTCTAGGGAAAACAGATGCCAGGGAACTCGCTCTGGGCTAGAAACCGAGAACCCTGGACTCCTGCTCAGGTTCCCTGGTCACTCCTGTCCTCCCCTGTCCTCAGCTTCCCTCTTTGTACTGGGGACGGTGGCTTAAGTGGTGACTAATCAGATCTTTTCGGCTCTGCCATTCTATAGTTCTGGGATTGTGGAGGTGGGGAGAGGGGATAGTGCTTGTTATTTCTTGAGCCCCTACTATGTTCCAGGCACTGTTCTAGGTGTTTTAAAACATTACCTCCTTTGATCCCCACGGCAGCTCCAGAGGTATGCAGTTCCATTGTACAGGAGGGGAAACCAGGGCAAGAGAGATAAAGTGACTTGTCCAAGGTCACACAGCTAGTAAAAGAAAAATCTGAGATTTGAAAGCAGGCAGTCTGACTCCAGAGCCTAAGTACCCCCCACGGCATGGGTTGGTGGCACTTTCCACGCCATACACTGCACTATAACAATCCCGATCCTCATAACAGCCCCTGGGCTTAGTGTTACAAATCCATTTTATAGATTAAGAAACTGAGGTTCAAGGACATTATTTTACCCCAGTCACCCTGCTAGTAGGACACCACACATGGGGTGGGAGTGATGCTGGGGATGACGAGCGTCAGATAGTGTAATGGGACAGCACTCGGCATGCAGTTGGTGCTCATGGATGCCAAAACTCCTCCTGGGTGTCCTTCGCCTTCCCTCTTCTGTCTTCTAATGTCTCCTACGGACGGTGGCCTCCGCTCCCTCCTCCCTGAAACCTTCCATGACCTGTAGCCTGCAGACAAGCTGGCCCTTCCTCACGGCTGCCACTGCAGCTTTTATTCAACAGTTATTGAACTCTTACTATGTGCCAGATTCTGTGCTGGGCACTGGGGATGCATGAGGACAAGACAGCCCAGACAGTGCTAGCCTCATGGAGTTTGTATTCTGGTGGGGAGCACAAACATCGCAGTCACAGGAACTTACACACAAGCACACACTGCCGTGAGTGCTAAGAAGGAAGAGTGGAGGCCTGGAGGAGAGATTGCCCTGGGAGGGGCATCGAGTTTAAATCGGGACATTTGGGAAGTGACATTCAAGCTGAGACCAGAGTAAGGAGCTGACCTCAGCCAGGTGATGGTGAGGGGAAGGGAGTCCCAGGCAGAGGGAAACTTACTGGGGGCTCGAGATGGGAAAGGGTTTGGCACAGTCAAGTAATAAAGTACAGCCAGAGTTGGGGGCACCCCACTAGCCAGGAGGTATGGCTGGACACGGGGCTGGAGGGGCAGCAGTGGCCAGTCCAGCAGGGCCTTATAGCAATGGCCAGGAATTTGGCCTTTGTTGGAAGGGCTGTGGGAGTCACCAAAAGGTTTAGAGCAGCAGTGACATAATCAAATCTCATTTTACTAGATATTTCAGGGTGCTGGATGGAGGATGGGGGAAGAGTTGGAGAGGCAAGGAGGCGGCAGCATCCCAGCGAGAAGGCTGCTCCACAGTCTGGGAGGAGATGGGGCGGCTGGCCCAGGGAGGGGTGGAGGATGGAGATCGGAGAACAGACCCAGGTGTGTTTGGTGTCTTGGGCTATGGTTGTGGCCATCTCTCCCTGACTGGAGGGCCATTGAGGCAGGGCTTTGTCTGGTTCAAGGGGGCAAGGGAGGGTGGCTACCAGCCCCTGGTGAGAAGAAGGTGTTTGCCTGTGACTCAGGGGACTTGGGCTCCCAGAAACCCATCACCTTCTTGCCTCATCTCCCTTTATGGTGGCCCTTCCAAATCATTCTTCTCCACAAGCCCCAACTCACTGACTCCTCAATCCTAGCTGCTGATTCCACTCTCTACTCACCAAGGCAATTCAGTCACCAAATGTTCACTGGCGTTTCCCTGTGCCTGGGGGACATTAGAACTGAGGCAAAGCTCAGTGGAGGAGACTCACTTAAGTTCCTGCCCTCAACCTCTCTGCTCAGCATCCATCTCCCCAGGGGGTGGCTTTTCTTTCATCTGAAGCTAAAGACACCAGCCATGCCCAGAGCTGCCCTTCTACTTCTGCAGCCAGGTTCCCACACCCTTGGGTACCCCACCCTCTTCTGGTTCCCTTCCCTGTAGGCCTATTGTTAACAAAAATTAACTGCCACCAAACTAATATCAGCAGCAGTCCCAAATCTGGGGCGTGGAAAAAGACAAACAGGTTGCAAACCTGGGAAACAGCCTCCATTGGGAACTGAAAATGCACTCAACTGAGACAAAGAAGAGGTTCCTTTTTATAGAGAAAATTCCTGCTCTGGTTCCTGATTGGTTCATTTTATGCAAATAAGAAATCCAAATCTGCATAGTCTAATTGGTCCAAATCTCACATTCTTGATTAGATGGAATTGTGCATTCTGATTGATTGTTATGAAGCTGCTCTAATTGGTCAGTATAGATGCAAATGAGGATATCATTTCTGATTGGATAGGGCCCTTCTCAGTCCTACTGGTACAAAGATGATGCCAGGAGCTCCCTTATAAGGGTTGACTTGGCCTGCAGGAACACAATGCAAGAGGCTGGCAGCTCAGTCTGTAGCTTTTCCCTGAAATGCAGTGTGTTCCAGAGGCCTCTGTCAGCAATGGCTGCCAGACTCTGGAATTAATTTGGGCCCCATTAGCCAGGAGGAGTCCTTCTTGGCAGATATATTCCTTCTCAGGGCTAACACTATGGACATGCTCCAGCATTTCCCCAAACCCTGCATTGGAGCCACCCCCTCCAGGTATTGCTCCCCTCTCTTCCCTTTACTGCCAACGGTTGGGGAGGAGTTGTCTCCTCTGCAGTCCTCTGCCCATTTATCTAGTCTCTGCCTGCAGAAAGCTCCCAAGATGGTCCCTTTAAGGACCCAGCAACCTCCATACCTTTGAATGAGTGCCCAGGAAGTCACTCCACAGACATGGTCAAGCCCCCCACAACAATCTTCCCCATTCTCCTCCTGCTTTCCAGACTCCTCTCAGGGCTCTCTCCCCCCAGTCTTTGCCCATTCTACATGTTCTTCCTGGGGAAGGGCAGGGGCTCTCCTTAAATTATCCCTGTATGCTGGACAGTCACAGTCTCCACCTTCAGCCCAGCGTTTCCCCTACGTCCCGGCCTATTGCTCCCTGGACGTCTTCCTTTCGAGGACTGCAGCACCCCTTCTCTGCGGTAGGCTCCCCCATGTCCTCATCTCTGTGAGGGCACCGTTGGCCCTGTCAGCTCAGCCCAGCACCAGCAGCGCTCAGACAGAAACCAGCCCCTCCTCCCATCCCCCATCGCAGCTTATACCCAACAAGCATATATTGAATTCCTACTATGTGGCAGGGTTAATGAAGAATTTCTTAAATAAAAACAACCAAAAAAAGAGAGAGAGAAAATTATGAAGGGAAAAATTGGTAAACTCAAGCATAACAAAAAATTTAAATTCTGTTATTCTAAATGTACACACACATACACACACACACACACACACACACACACACACACACAGACAAAGATAGACCGCAGACTGAGAGAAGATACTTGCAACGCATACAACAGACAAAGGATTATTATTCAGCACGTATAAATAACTCCTACATATCAGTAAGAAAAAGCCAAACAACCTAATAGAAGAATGAGCAAAAGACAGTTATTTCACAGAAGAGAAAGCAAGTATGGCCAATACACATATGAAAATATGTTTACCTCACTATCAACCAGGGAAATTTCAATTAAAACTATAGTGAAGAATCATTTCGTACACATCAGGTTAGCAAAAGTTAGAGATTTTGATAGTGCCAACTTTGTTGAGGGTGTGCAGAGACAGGAAATTTTAGGTACTGCTGATGGGACTGGAAACTGAACACAAGCAAGATAAAGAACAATTTGTCAATATCTGGTGGTTGAAGATACACATAGTCAGAGACTAACCCACTCCACCCTAACATGTATTGCCAGGAGAAACTCTGGCAGGTGTATAAAAACGTACATCACAGAATTATGCCTAATGCAAAACATTGGGAACAATCTAAAATACCCATTTATAGGACAATGGAAAAATACATTTTTATTCAGGCATTCTTTGCTATTTGAACTCTTACTCTCTTAATATTTGTTCTAATGACTTGTAAATATTTGACTAGTAGAGCCCTGGCCCAGTAGCTCAGTTGGTTAGAACATTGTCCAGATATACTGAGGTTGCCAGTTCAATTCCTGGTAAAGGAACATACAAGAATCAACTGATGAATGAATAAATAAATGGAACAATAAATTAGTGTTTCTTTCTCCCTAAAACAAATTTCAGTAGTAGAAAACCTGTTGTAACAAATCTGCGGGTGCTCAACAGCTTGAGTCTGGGTGAGAGCATGTGGAGTGGGCTGCAGTTGTAACTCAGCTGTGTTTTTGATGGGATAGGATCGTGCCTCATGCTCATGTTGCTTAAACCTGTTTGGTGCATAATTGTTACCATCTCCCCCTCATTGTTTAGTGAACATGTCTTCTCAGAAAGTGGGAAAGCCTAAGAAATAGGTGAGCCTGAGAGGCTTAGAAAAGCCCTTACATTAGAAGGAAATGTGTAAGTAATAAAGCGCATTGAGAGGGCTTGGCTAGGCACACATCCTTCTCCCTCACACACAGGAGGTGCGCCCTGCATGAGAGATAGAAGAAGCTCAGTCAGTGTTAGACAATGAAGTAGTCAGTGTTTTAAATGCTTTAGAACTCTCTGTAATGATGGAAATGGTCTCTGTCTGTGGTCCAGTATGATAGCCTCTGGACCCGTGAGGCTACTGAGCATTTCAAGTGTGTCTAGTGCAACTGAGGACCTGAACTTCTAACTTTTGATTAATTTGCACTTAAACTTAGCCTCCTATGGCTAGTAGATGCCATATAGGACAACATAGCTTATATTATGCAGAAATACTTGGTGATTATTAAGAATTT